AGAACATCTAAACAAGAAAGAAAGTTAATAAATACAGAAAACATAAAAAAAAAAAAAAAAAAAATAAGACAACTCATCAAAGAACGATACAAAACCACCAAAGAATCACCAAAAAACGACGAAGACAAGAACACCGAAAGAGCACCTAAAGCAAAAAAAGAATTAGTAGTAAGCACAAGAACGTTAAGAAAAAAAAATAAACACAAGAAAAATCATGAAGAAAGAAAGAAAAAAACTAAGACTAACCAGAAAACTACGTAAATCGACGAAGAATCACCAGAAAACGACGTAAAATCGATGAAGAATTACCAGGAAATGACGCAAAATTGACAAAGATCACCAGGAAACGACGACGCAAAGTCCACCGAAAGAACGCCTAAAACAAGAAAGAAAGAAAGATAGTAGCGAACACAAGAAAAATCAAGAAAAAAAAAAAAAAAGAAACAAAACTCCCCAGGAAACAACGAAATTCGACAAAGAATCACCAGAAATGACGACATTAAGTTCACCAGAAGAGCGCCTAAAAACAAGAAGAAAAGTTAATAGTGAGTACAAGAAATATCAAGAAAAAAAAATAAGCACAAAAAACCAAGAAAAAAAAATGAACACAAAAAGCGCCAAGAAAAAAAGACTCACCAGAGAACAATGCAAATTTGATGAAGAATCACCAGAAAATGATGCAAATCTACTAGAAACCGCCTAATACAAGAAAGAGAGTTAGTAATGAGCACAAGAAACACAAGAAAAAAAAAAAAAGCAAGGCTCACCAGAGAACGATGCAAATTCAAGAAGAATTACCAGAAAATAATGCAAGTCCACCAAAGAACGTCTAAAACAAAAAACACCAAGAAAAAAAAATAAACACAAGAAACACCAAGAAAAAATAAAAGCAAGACTCACCAGAGAACGAAGAAACACCAAGAAACACCCAGAAAAAAAAATGAGAAATACCGAAAAAAAATTGAACACAAAAAAAAAAAAAAAAGACTCACCAGAGAACGACGCAAATTCGAAGAATCATCAGTAAGTCCACCGGAAGAATGCCTAAAACAAGAAAGAATGAATACAAAAGCGAAAAAAAACAAAAAAAAAAGAAAAACTTACTAAAAGAGCAACGAAAATAAACTTGAAGAACGATATCGAAGATCCACCTAAAAAATAAAAATAAATAAATATACGAAAATATAAAACAAAAGATAAACAAAAAAAAAAAACTTATTACAGATCAGTATGTTATCACGTGGTCGGTACTGTCACCGCTGGCGACAACTAGATTATTTCTTTTTTATAATATAAATATTTTATATCTT